TTTGTTATGGTTTGTCTTGCAGGTTCAGAAGTTGAACTATCTTAAATGACCTGTTCTTCATAAAATGCCCTTTTAATTTGCTGATTTTGCTCCCACAACATACAAGTCTGCTGATGTGCTGATTACTGCATTCTGTTGGGATAATTATTTCAAAATAATTTCCCTGAGTTGCAAGGCAGGTCAAAAGGGAAAAAAGAAAGACTTACAAAATGTAATACCTAAAGGAAAGGTACTGGTAAATGTTTTCAAATTAATGATGTAGGCAGAATTTAAAAGGCATACAGACCCCATATAGTTACTACATTGAAATCATTGCTTACTTCTAAATAAATACTTTATTCTGAGACCCTGAAGGAAATGATCTCAAAAGCACTGAGGAAAGAAAGTGTTTATAATCCAACTCCTGTGTAAAATTCAGTACAAGGTAAAGAAATGCATCAATGTGACAACCAGAGCTTGGGGTAGAAATGTTCAGTCCTAATGTATTTTATTAAATATCTTCTCTTCTCAGTCACATCCAATGTGCTGTATGAGTGTAAGTATTTAATAAAAATAATGAGTGAGATCTAAAGGAGGCTAAACGTCACCAATCTGTCACCAGCTTTGCTTGCAAGTATATTGATGTATTTAAACACTTTATGCTTAAAATTTCTATTTGCCTTACAAGCAAGAAAAAAGACAAAATTATAACTTAATCTACTCCATTTTAGTAAAATATGACAAAAGCTTTAAAATATCTGAAAAGAAATGAATGTAACTTTTCACACATATATAACATGATCTGATGAAGTCTTCAGACCCTCTGAATTCAAATTAAGAGAGACTGGACTACTCTATTCCTTATATTAAGTGGCTATTTGGCCTTTACAATATGAAGAAGATAAGAGTGTAGCTCAGACTCATAGAGACTAAATACTAGAATCTGTGAAAATTTATATTTGATGAATATTAGTTTTTAGACTCTTTTCTACCTGCCAAAGATGACGTATATGCTGAGTATCTTATTCAGATTAAAAGATTTATTCAATGATATGAACCTTTTTGAAAATTTGTACATATATGCTCTTCGCAAACTGTTCAAATAAACAGGAGTTAGTAATTATTTTTTCTAATGATACAGAAAGTAAATTGTGGGATATAAAATTCCTATAGAACCCCATCACTGTAGCACAAACATAGCCAAAGACAATATATAAATATGGGTTGCAGAGTTTTATTAAGCTTTACAATAACAGGCAGTTGGTCCGTTTTCCTTTTATACTATATTTGCTGATCCCTACTAGTAGAGGTAAGTGTTTTGAGAGACACTATTTGGTTGCAGAAATATTTCTATTTTTGAATGAGACTAGATAATTCAGTACACTACAAACCTCAGAGTTCTGTCAATATTAGCATATTAAAGTTCTGAAACTATTTTATGAAATACATGTTAATTTCTTTAAAATATATTTATTCAAATTATAATTTAACCCTTTTATTATTTTCAGCTATTAGTGAGATACAGACATGGTATCTTAATTACTTGTGTTATTGAATT